TAATTAAATAATACATTCAATAAAATTATAGTTTAAAACCTATTACTGCATAAAAGAACTTTCCGGATTATCAAATGGGGTCCTTTCAGAGTATCTACAAAGAATAAGTTTATGTTGTTTATTGCTTAAAAATAACTTTCAGAAATACATTTCAGAGCAGCAGGAAGCACCTTGTGGGTTCAGGGTTGGAATTTAAGCTGCCCATGCCAACAAGAAGAAGACAAGAACATCCGAGATGTTAAAACCTTCTGCTCTGGGGGCTCGGAAAACAGAGCACCGAGCAGGAAAATATTTACTGGGCAAGAAGGAAACAGGGCTCTGTTTGTTTTCCCCTCCGGGATTTGTTCCCTGCCTGCTGCAGGGAGGAACAGCGTTGCTGTTCGGGGTCTGCTGCAGTGAAACTCAGTATCTCAAAGGGAGAGCAACGATTTGTGTCTCCGAGCCCGACACCCTCTGCCCGCGGCAATCAGCAAAGCAAAGCGTGCAGACGAGCCCTTACTAAATCAAGGGCAGGATTTTGCATGGGCTCAACGGTATTTAGGGTTTTTTGTATCGGTTTCTTAATTACCCCTCAGCTGTGAAAGGCTGCGAAGGCTTTCGTTCTGTAGGTGCAACGTGACTGGGGTTAAGATTGTCCTAATCAAGGATTATTTAAAGAGCCTCAAAAAAAGTGTTGCATGCTGTAACAACGTAACACGATGTATTGCAATGTAACGTCGTGTGTTGCATGATTTCCTGACGTTTTCTGGCTGAAAAGTCCCCGAGCAAACGAGTCTCACTCGTTATACTATGTCACAAATATGCATTTTAACCCAGGGTTTACTCTTCCTGTTTCCTGAGCGTGTATTAAGGCAAGTCCACTTCTTGGCAATCTTTTCTACCTGTCACTCTTCGTCTCAACTTGCACTGTAACTTTTAAAGACAAAGTCTGGCTTTTGCTTTACTCTCTTTGTACCACGATCTGGTCAGCTTTTTTTTTTGGCCATCAGCATTTACCAGTTTTCATTGCTCAAAACCCAGCCTGTGCTCTAAGGCTTATGAAACACATTATTTTATCAGAAATAACTGTCGTATGTCGAGGATGAGTGATTTCTGTGTGTATTGGTTTGGTTTCTGCTTGACTTTCCTTGCAATCAGGATTCAGTTTTCATACTGAAGCAATGGTAAAAAAATCAGTTTCCCTTTTGTCAGAGTTTTTCGTGTGAAAGTTTAATAACATGCCTTGAAACTTCGAACTCTCCTATTAGACCCACTAGGACATTTTTATGAAAGATAAAGCTTTCAAGGTAACAGCAAATGGTAATATTTTCAGTAGAAGTTTATATGGCACTTGGGGACATGGTTTAGGGGTGATTATGGTGGTGCTGGGTTGGTGGTTGGATTAGATGATCTTGAAGGTCTCTTCCAACCTTGATGACTCTGTGAGTTCCTTGTATCTCATCTCCTGTTGTAAATATGACTTCCTTAAAAGATAGACTCTATTAATGTTTATTAATAGATTAATTAACTTTATTAATGTTTATTAATAGATATTAAAATATTGTTTGACTTTGAAGTCAGTAAATTTTTTTTTCTACTTTCCTTTAGAACGTTTTCTTTAAAATATCTTTGTAGCCATAAGATACAATAGGAGATCACGGTCTCTGTCTTTCTACTTTATCTGTGATTATACAGGAAAATAATCTTGTATATCCTTTGTTTTGAAACCCTCCTGTTCAGTGGTTGTGTATTTAACAGTTTTATTTTGCCTGAAATTGTAGTCAGAGTAATTTTGCTGCAGAGCTGAGGAAGGCAGTTCTGTAAAGTGATCTGCCGTGTTTTAGTTGCCTGCAGTGCTTGCTGGTTCGCATCATAATCCTAATTTCACATCCTCAAATACTTTTCTAGTCTTCCCAATCTTTTCTCCTCCTTAGAGAACTGCTTTGGTAGTAATTCTGTCTTTATCTGACGTCCATAAAGGTGCCTGACCAGCTTCGTTTCCCATAACCAAGCGTGTTCCCCGAAAGCCTCCGGGGGCAGAGCTGTTTGTGTGTTGGAGCAGCCTGTGATTAAAGGGAGGTACAGTCAGCTTCACCTCTGTGTGTCTTTGCACATAAACCTGGGGGCTTATTTCAGGGAAATCTGAAACTACAGCTCATGACTGACAGGTTCACATGAAATTGTTGGCGACACTGATGAGAACGCTCCTCTCAGAGGTGTAACTCAATAATTCACACTGCTAATTTCACCTTTCAATTTGAAATATTACCTTATAAAGAAACCCAGAAAGTGTTTCAGTTCCAAGTAAATTTGACTGCAGAACTTAAATCTCTCTCACTCCCTTTTTTTTTTCTTAGAAGAAAATGCCACGTACAGTCGACCTCCTGCACTTTTGGTCTTCTTGCTTGTTAATATCTCACATTACTGAAGATTGTTTTTAGACAGGCCTTGCTTTTGAGACCCTCTCTCTTTGGTTTGTCCAATTAGTTCTGGCAACTCAGTTTACTGTACGTATCTTAATATAATATTTCTGCTCATGTCAATGTTCTGTTTTCCTTCTGCAGTTAGTTTACAGAAGAATTTAAGTACGATGCGAAAGATTATTTATAGGATGTAGGAAAAAAACAAGGTAGAAAGTAGACTTACATAAACAGAGGCTTATCATTTGAAGCATTCTACTTTACAGGTTAGTGAAGAAAATGACACCAATGTTTTCAGGAACTTGCTGGTTGCCATTTTACTTTTTTGTACCTATGTTTATATATACCTTTGTAGGTTCTTCTATACAGAGGAGATACATTGCATGTTCTTTTGTATGCAGCTATACTTTAGTTTTCCACCCACAAAATCACCAGGTTCTGCTGGACTTTTTCTTTAGGGGCACACAGGAAGAGCACATTCAAATTGTTTGCCCTGGGGTCCTGCAAGAGGTTGTAGACTGAGAGTACAGGAATTAGTGCAGATGTGAAGTGTTTCCTCCCCTGTGTTTCTCATCTCCAGAAAGCCCCACAATCTGAGCAGCACATCATGTTTTCTTTTTGAATCACACTTTAATTGTGCTTAACCAGAAAATGCTGTTCTGAGTTGCAATTCAGCTTCCTCACAGTCATAAACCAATGCACGTAGAATGCTCTCTTTTAGAGAAGAATTTGTTATGAAAGCACACCCTGAAAAGATGGAGAATGGCAGAGTCAGTAAATGGCAGGCAGCTGACTCCTCTGCCCATCTGTCCTCTACTGCACATCCAAGTCATTCCACTCTCCTCTGAGGTACTGGGAACTCCTTCTCCACTGGTGCCAAACAGCAAGTTCAAAATACAGATGAATTCTGAGCAGCAGGAAAAGTGGTTTCAGTAGATTAAAGAAAAGTGCTGACTGTCATTCCCTTGCTTGGTGTCCCTGGCTTTAAATACTGCAGGGCACACACTGGGGAAGAAATGAGCAGTTCCCAAGTCCAGCTCATTAGTTAGCAGGTTTTGTTGGTTTGAACTCAAGTCAGGTATGTGCATCTGAGGGCAGTGTTTGACTGGGTGTTTAGACACGGCCTAAATTGATAAATCTGTCTAGCAAAGTGCCTTTCTTGTCTTCCTTGAATTTAGGTTCATGATCTCAGCTTTGCTCATCGTAGCTTACTCCACGTGAATTTAAGTTGATGATAAATTAGTTTTATAAATGAGTTGCTGCAACGTGCAATGGGCTGTCAAAGGACAAGAGGAAATTCATTCACCATTCCCCACCCCACCCCCCTTGACACCTCAGCCCTCTCTTCTCCATTTCTTCTTCAGCCCTTGCAGCATTTGTGGTTACTTTTCACCTCCCACTCCTAAAACCATAACTCCTCCAGGGCTCCTGCAACCTGCTGACCCCTGAGGTGCTGGAAGAGGGACACACCACAGGGGGCTTTCCCTGCTGATGAACATCAGGCAGTGAAGCCTTTGGGCTGCCCATGTGTGGGGTCTGCACATCCCCCTGCCCAGGTGGGCTCCTGCCTGCCCCAGACCAGGGGGGCTGTTCCAAACTGGAGGGAGCAGCTTGGCCCAGTGCCTGCCAGGAAGGAGCCAGGGCACAGCCAGGCTGTGGTGACAGCAGTGTCCTCACTGCTGGTGGAAAGGGCCATGTGGCTGCTGCCTGCAGACCCCACCAGCACCTGGAAGTGCTCAAGGACAGGCTGGACGGGGCTTGGAGAAACCTGGTCTAGTGGAAGGTGTCCCTTCCCAAGACCAGGGGCTTGGAAACAGATTTCCTCCGTGGTTCCTTCCAACATAAACCATTTTACACGTTGGAGAAGTTTTGGAGGACTGTCTCCTATGGGAGGGACCACACAGGAGCAGGGGAAGAGTGTGTGGGGGAAGGAGCAACAGAGACATGTGATGAGGGGCTGTGGTGGTTTCCTCAGGGACAGCCCAGACAGCTCTGTGGCAGCAGGAAAGGAGCACCAAAATCCCCCTGAAGTCTCTGATGTCCTGGGATATTTCCTGCCAGGGAATGGGGTGCTCAGAGGGCCTGGCTGTGCTTCAGGAGCAGTCGGGACATCCCTGTAGGTGACACCTGGAAGGCCCAGGGCAGCAGCCCCTGGAGCTGAGGGCTCTGTGCCCGTGTGCCATGCAGGGACTGGTGCCCATGGCTCTGCCCATGGAGCACCCCCAGGACAGGGGGCAGCTGCCAGCGCAGCCTGAGCAGCCTGGGAGGTACCTGCCACTGCTCTCTCTGATTCTGGGATTCCAGCAGGACACCCCTTCTGCTCTGCTGCTTGGAAGGGCAGTCAGGGAGCAGGGAAACCCTCAAGGTTTGTGGGGTTCCCTCAGCTCAGGGGGACATCAAAGCTGGTGCCCCCGGGCAGGGGCTTCATCCTCAAGGGAGCCCAAATGAGCTGTGCCCTCACTGCAGGACATTTGGGGGGCACTCCCAGAGGGGCTCAGTGTCTGCCCTGTTGCTGAGCACAGTCTTTATCATTTCATTGTGCCTGTTCTGAAAACACATCCCAGGGTGAAATAACAGTCCCATTTTCTCCCATTTTTTTAGCATTGAAACAGCTCTCCAGTGAGGTCACACACTCCAGCTCACCTGAGGGTGCCCTGATCCGTGAGGAGAGAGGAGCAGGAAGAATGGGGGAAGAAAGAGCCCAGGGATCTGGTATTTAATCTCAGCTCTGTCACTGACCAGCAGACAGTGTTTTAAGGTCACTTGAAGAATCTCAGATCACAGTGGGGCCTGGGGGAGATGCCCCATCACAGTCAACACTTGGCTATTTTCGTGTGTGCTTTAGCTTTTCCTTCCATAAACTGATATTAGAAAACAATTTCAGTGTCTTTTTAGATCTCTCAGAAAGTTTTCAGTTAAAAAAAAAAAGGCATATGTTTGAGGAATTCCTCATCATTATATACAGGCTTATTCACGAATAGTGACTTCATGTTTAACTCCTAAAAAATTCTGAAATGCTGTCTCAAAAAGAAAGTAAAATAAATAAACCCCAAGATTTTTATTCTTCCTCAAGAAGAATTAAAACCGTTTTACCTCTTTGACTCTACTTTCAAAAAAACACTAATAAAAATTAGGTCTAATCATTATAGTTTTCAAATGCTATTATGTATTTTTACGTGAGATATATACAAATATATCTTATATGTATTAATCCTTAATAATTTGAGGGTTGTCTTTTTAGGATCTTTGGCCCTGGCTGATGAACTCAACACAAAGCCACTGTGTGAAGGGAAGAGGGACTCAGACAAAGAATCAATGTTAAATGTATGGTAACTCATTTAGTCATATTTCTCAAAGTGCTGAGTTGTTCCACATAGTGAACACTATCTATGGATCACCAAGAGTTTTCCCAGATTTTATTTTTAGAATTTCTGAATGATAAATAAAGAGCTTATAACTAGGCCAGAAAACGTGATATGTGCATTTCTCTTTCATATTTTTCCTAAGAGGGAAAAAAAACCAAACAAATTAAAAGGAGTCTAGTACAAATTTGAAAATTCAAATTATACTTAATTCAAATGGTTCCTAGTCTTAATTGTCTCTAGATTTTGGTTGGGTTTTAAGTAAATGTTAAAGGGAAGGAATGTGATTTCCAAAGTAAGCAAAAAGGTGTTGTTTAGAAACTAGTTACCTGCACAGACACAAATGTTTCTGGGCAGGTTGTGGCAGGTTCATTAACACTCAGTGCTAATAGTGACTAATTTCTTATGCACATTAATGTCACATCAGCTCCATCTTGTGGCTGATGATATTACTGGACTCATTTTAACTTTGATTCTGCAGGAAAAGGGTCAAAACCAAAAACGAAACAAATGCTGGTGAGGAGAGGAAATTGTAGCCAGGACTCATCATTGCAGCTGTTTGTAAAAAAAAAAAGGCGACAGAAAAAAACTCTGCCCGGAGTGTTTGGTACCTGCCTGCCATAGTTGCAATTTGCCGTATCTAAGCAGACAATTATAAAACAGGGAAAGTTTTAACTAAAACATTAATCAAGAAAATCAAAGAAAACCCTTTCGTGGCTATTTCAATGAGTTTATGAACCCTGCCAGTTATGTTTTGTTCCTCTTTCATACAGGGCACCAAAACCGCTGCTGCTGCTGGGCAGTTTAACCTCGAGGCTGCGATTAAAAGTGTTGACAAAATGTCCAGCGAGTTGAAGAAGCTGAACGGTAACTCCGCCTTCGTCCTCCAGTAACACCAGAGGGCGTTTAAGGCGTCCTAAGGGTTGTGAAGGGCTCGGTTTCCTTTGGGGTGCAACTGTTTTCATGTAATGAAACGAGAGATTTGCTTGTGTTTGGACATTAACGAAGCAGTAGTTACATGTAGCAATAGAATCGTCAGAGTAATTAAGCAGTAGTTACCTGTAGCAATAGAATCAGGTGAATTAACAACGGCAAAAACCTGTCGGATAGTCAGAAGCCGTTCCTTCGCAAAAACACTGGTAGTTTTCTAATACAAATAGTACTAATTTTAATTTAAATGTCTTGGAGTAAATAAAACAAGGCGACCCATTAAATCGGTGAATGAGTCGATAGACGAACTCTTCAAAAAGTGCTTGTGTAGATGCTCATTGCCATCGCCTAAACACCGTGCTAATAAACTGTCCTTTGTCTTTTAGTGGAAAGCCAGCTCCTGCTTTGTGACCTTATTCTGAATTTCAACCATCCTATAAAGGCCAAAGACTTAAGAGAAGCTGAAGAAAAGACGTGGAGTTTGACAGATTAAACATCCATTTTCTTGTGTTGTCTTCTATTAATACTGCTGAAGTTTCTCTTTTTTTCTTTTTCTNTTTCTTTTTCTTTTTCTTTTTCTTTTTCTTTTTCTTTTTCTTTTTCTTTTTCTTTTTCTTTTTCTTTTTCTTTTTCTCTTTCTTTTTCTTTTTCTTTTTCTTTTTCTTTTTCTTTTTCTCTTTCTTTTTCTTTTTCTTTTTCTTTTTCTTTTTCTTTTTCTTTTTCTTTTCCTTTTCCTTTTCCTTTTTCTTTTTCTTTTCCTTTTTCTTTTTCTTTCTTTTTCTTTTTCTTTCTTTTTCTCTTTTTCTTTTCCTTTTTCATTTCTTTTCCTTTTTTTCTCTTTTTTCTTTTTTTCTTCTTCTTTTTCTTCTTTTTCTACCTCTTCTTCCTCTTTTTCCTCTTCTGCTTCTACTCTTTCTTCTCCTTCTCCTTCTTCTCCTTCTTTTCTTCCTCTTCCCTCAAAAGACTGAAGGTTGAACTGTACAATGATAGTATAGTTTCCTGCACTCAGACTATTTTACTTGTGGACATCTTTGAGTGTTTAAACGTTTGGTGTATTTTTTTTTCTTTTACCAAATATATTTATCTGAATAATAAAACTGTGATTTATTCTACTGGAAAAAAAATGTGCAGTGTTAGAATTTGTTATGCTGGTATAAATTTTGTTTCTCTTTCACTTGTGAGATGATTTAAAATTAATAAAACACAATTCCACAGGAGGCATTTCTAAGTTTCTTGAGCCATGTTTTTCAAGGCAACGCAGTGGAATAAAATTACAGCCTCCAATTCACAGTCAGTGGTAATATGGCAGATGTTGGTCTGAATTTTAGCATTTTTTAAAAAACATAGATTAGAATTGATTCACCTTTCACCAGATTAAAAAATATTGAGCCAGAAACAGCTTTTCTCAGCTGAAGAATTTTTAAAATTTTATTTTTCATCTTTATTTCTGGACCCACGGCTGCATGGAAACGAAATTCGCTAACTTTGAATTCTAAATATTTTAGAGAGACAGGTAGCATTTATAAAACACATCTATTTAAACTGTTTATGAAATCTAATTGTTATGTCTGAGAAGCTCTAGAGATTGTACGGGAAGTATTTGTCTACCTTGAATTTCGGTTCTAGTATTTCAAGTCACAAATGGCTTTAAAGGAAAAAACACGTGAGGAATCTACCACGTCAAACCAAGGTTTGCCAGAACACAAAAGTTATCAGAAAACTGAGGCGAGGAGTTGGATAAATCCCACTTAACAAAGGTGAGGGGGAAACTCTTGGTGCTTCAATGGTCATCAGTTGCAAGTTATATTTTAGATCTGGGAACGTTTTCTTTTAAAAACACAGTACAACAGAGGGCAGTGGTGTAAGAGGAACTAAGTTTAGGCTGCTGCCTGTGCTTTCTAAGAGCTTTGGGGGTGTTCTGCCAGTCAGGAATCACATGATGATGGGATAAACTGGTGGATGTGCTTCCTGTAAAACGCAGCTGCTGGATTAAATCAGGAAGACACAGCCGAAGGAAGGTCGGTGTTAAAGGGGAAAAGCTTGTTCTGACTCAGGTTAGAGGATGCCAGGAGACACCTCATTCCAGAGTGTGGGACAAAGCATGGGATCCTCAGTGGTGTGGCAGAAAGCGGTGTCTGTAGGTGCGGGAGTTCTCTAGAAAACTGTGAAAAATCCAGTTTAATCCCTGAGTAACCCAGACACAAACCCCGACAGGTACCTGCACATCTGGGGTGGGAGAGATTTGTGGTGTCACCGAAACCCGTGTGCCCTTCAGATCCAGGCTGGAGCCACAGCCTTTTCAGGGAAGTGGACATAGTTGGATTTACTGGGGAACAAATAGGCTTCTATTGTCTTTTGTCCACTCCTCAGCCTTGACAAGGTTTGGGTCTACCTTGTATCACATGAAGTGACATAATTGCTGCTGCAGTTCTCATCCAAAAAAAAAGAGCTTACGTTTTTATTCTCCTGTGACAGCAGAGATTTGTGTGCATGTTTATTCCTGGATCCTCTAATTTGCTGTGGAAATAATTTCAAGAGGATATACACGTCTTGGAAAATAAAAAAATTCTCAGGTACTGTGTGATTAGTGGACAGTAACAAACACACTATAGGAAAATCACATTTAAAGCATACTGCATTTAAGGCATAATTAAAAAAATAACATAATCCTTTTTCCTTGAAATGAGACGATTTTTAATGACTTCATGAGTTTAGTTTGCTGAAAAAGGAAGTATCTTCAAGTTTATAAACTTCACTAGGCTTTGATACAATGCGTGATCTTCATTAAGATCTTATTTAAATATGTCCTGCAGCATATTTTAACATGCACTGGTTTCTGGAACCTCTGTCTTTTCCATCAATCAGAAGAAGGGGTGTCCTTTGGAAGTGGTCAATGATATCTGCCACAGAAGAAAAATCCTGTGGGATGGAAAAAATGAGAAGGCTTTGGCAGAAGTGTCAGAATTATCAGTAATCAGTACAACCAAAAAGGGTTTTTTAAACTCTAAATATATAGCAGTCTTACAAAAAGACACAGAAGGTCCAGTAAATACTGTCAGATCAACTGTTCTCCTTCCTGCCATCACCTGTAGCTCAATAACTGTGTGTACAAGCTATAATTAATTCGTGCAGTCTGTTTAATACATGATGGTGTCATTCTGCTTGATGTGATGACTGCACTTGGAAGTTCAAAGAGAGAAATTCGGAGTGTTTTGGCTCAATCAGAACTGCAGTGTGAGGCTCACTGGGCTCACTGGTGCCAGTAAATCCACACAGAGCTGCTGGTGCAGCTGAGCCACCAGTCTGGGAGCACAGTAAAGTTGGCAGGTATGGATTTGCTCTCAGCTCTGTATTTATTTCCCTCATCTGGTGCATTAGTGGTGAATAAACATTCCCTAACCAGGTGTGTGGATTTCTAATGGCCGTATTCTAAGTTATCTCTTCATTCCCTGAGTGCAAACAGGAGAATCTGATTTTACTTCCAGCACTAACAATATTCTACCAGGAATAACTCTTAAGAATTCCACCCCAGGAAAACCTGACAGTCGGGAATAAGAGAGGACATCCCTCACAATGAAGAGAATTAGTGTGAAAACACACAGCACCTCTTTTCCTTTTAAGCCAGTTCCCAACAGGTACAAGTGCTCTTGCTCCTGGTAGCGGATCTGGATGTTGTACACTTTGTCCCTGTACAGCACCATCAGCACATAGGGGTGAGTGACAGTTTTCCTTGAGCTGTCTCTCACCAGGAATGTTCCATCCTGCAAGATGAAAAAATGACAGATGACAAATAGAAGTCACTCCTGGGTTTGATCAGTATAACAACCTTCACCAGAGCACCCCTTCTAAGTGTTTGTTCTTGCTGAAATCTTTTTCCTTCTGCTAAGAGAAGCTGCATTGTGAGAGAGTTTAAGTCATTCATCAAATGTGCTGTCTTGCAAATTTGCTACTTAACGCTTCCTGCCTGTTAAAAAAGCAGATTTTTAGGGAAGGAAGGAAGTATGTTCTAGGAGGGAGAGATTCCATTAAAGGAGGAAGTAAAATATCAAAGGCCAGACCAGACATCACATGAACCAGAAAAGAAGTTCGTTTCTGCCGAGTGCCAGTCAAGGTTCCCGTGTGATGCATTTACAGCCAGCCCAAAATACTGATAGTGGCTGTGTAATTTAGGCAAAGGCAGTGACATTGTACCACTCTCTCTCTGCTTTTCTTCGTTTCAGATCTGGCTTTTCAAGTCTTCCATTGAAATCCCTTTCTTAAGGGCACTGAATGTGATCCCATAAGCTGGGCCTTCCTCCAAGTGATTGGAATGTTGTACATGTCACCCTCAGCTCATGGCAATAGTGGAGTAGCCACACCTCCCTCAGTGATGGCATATTATTTCATTTATATTTATAATTTTAATTTATCTCCACATGCACAGATAAGCCTGGGTTTCACCTGTCTGAGTCTGTGCTTCATTTTGCTGGTCAGTATGGCCTAGGAAAGGGTGGGATCTTATAGTTCAAGCTGCCTAAATATTGGAATTTGGGACAAACTCCTCACTGATGACAGAAGACTTTTTCCAGAGAACAAGTCACTCCTCCTAAGACGGGCAAGGTCAAACTGCTTTCTGGAGACACATAATTTGTTCTCTCGGATTTTGGCAAACAACAGCCTTTGTGGGTGGTTTAGACCCGGTGTGAAACTTTTCTGTGGGGACTCAAGATGAATCCTTCACTCTGAGCACCTACATTGGTGCTGCAACCTCTCTGTTTTATTGACCTGCACTCCTCCCACGGGAGCACGAGGACACCTGGTGAGGGGGTGGGAGGATCCCCTGCATGAGAAATAAAAACACAGTTTTTTATATGAATATCATATCATTTATATCATGAAGTTGTAAGGTATCCAAGTTCCAAGACCTGAACTTGGGTATCAGGGTCTCTTTCGGCGGGATAAGGGAAACGAGAAAATTCTTAAAAATTAAACCTTTTGGGGCCATTTTGTACACGAGGTTCCTTTTCTCTTTGGGCTAAGAACAAAGAAAGATCCATCACCTCTCACAGGGGATGGTTTGCAGCCAATTGGAAAAAAAGGAAAGCCCCTTTTCAGAGAAAAGAAACCTTTTTATGTAAAGATGAATACATTAAAACTTATCTGAAAAGGATGGGATTTTATGAAACTATAAAATGCGTGACATTTAAACCAAAGGAGTCTTTTCCCCCAGAAACTCGGTGAGAGAAAGACCCAACGCGTTGAAGAAATTCTTCCTTGTTTCTTTGTTCCCAAAGTTTAGGCCCCCTTTTTAAATGTAAAGAGAGGGATATTCCCCACCCCTGCCATTCCCAGAGTACCTTGTTGAATTTAAGGAGAGGGATATTCCCCACCCCTGCCATTCCCAGAGTACCTTGTTGATTTTCCGAAGAGCTGCCTCTGCCTCGGGCCGGCTCACAAAGGCCACGTACCACTCGTTGTTCAGGGAGCCCTAAGGGATGGTTTGGGGGAGAGAGGAGAAAAGAGAAACTCAGCTGTCAGTGACTGAGTCTGTAATTCGAGCAACACACAGGGAAGCAGAGAGAAATCTCGGTGAGAGGG